TGTGTGTGTTTATGTATGTGTATGTGTATATATGTGAATGTGAATATGTATGTGTATGTATATGTGATTGTATGTGTATATGAATATATGTGTATATGTGTGTGTTTATGTGTATGTGTATGTGTTTGTGAAATGTATATGAGTATTTATGTATGTGTATATGTGTGAATGTGTATGTGTGTTTGTGTATATATGAGTATGTGTATATGAAAATATATGTGTATATATATGTATGTATGTGTATATATATTTGTATGTGTGTAATGTATGTGTATATAGGTGTATGTGTATGTGAAAATGTATATATGTACGTGTATATATAGTATATAATTTTTTTATATTTTTTTTAAATTTTTAAAACATTTGCGACGGAATGCGACGGAAAAAATTCCGTCGCAATACTTTCCGTCGCAAAACGCAGATTTCTTCTGTCGCAAAAATGTGACGGATTAACGACCGTTATACGTTTGCGACAGCGCTATAGCGACGGAAATAAATCCGTTGCATTCCGTCGCAAATTCTTAATTGCGAGGGATTTCCTTTGTATTTGCGACGGATTTTTCCATCGCTATATAACTGTTTTTTTGTAGTGTACGGATCTATACCGACCTAAACCAGTCAACTTCAAATCTATATCAGCCTATTTAAATCTAACATGATCTCCTACCCAGCTAAACTTAATCAAATCCAGCCTATTCAGACCTACATTGAACAGAAAACAGGAATCAATGACTTTCATTAGCTAAATAGAGATCTAATCAGGGCTAATCCTAGTGAACTTTACTAAATCAAGCCAAATTAGATACTAAACCGACCTAACAGGGTAATTCGATCACTATAGACCCTAAGATATCCTAAACCAATCGACTATGCCCTAAATAAGACACCATCAGACCTAATTTTTGACAATCAGACCCTAAACTAGGCAATTCTAGTCCTAATCGGACACTCTAGACCCTAAACCGATCCAATCTAGTCCTAAACCACGAATTTAGACCCTAAACTCGATCAATACAAGTTCTAAACAGATAAACCAAACCTTACTCAGACTTATTTCAGCCTATACCAATCTAAATTTACCTAAACCGAATCTCATTGATCTAAACCCGGACAATTCTAGCCCTAACTTGAAAATCAAACCTAGATTGACCTAAACTAAACTCAGTTGACCTAAACTGGACCTAAATTGACCTGAACCAGACTCAATTGACCTAAACCAGGACTAGATTGTCCTAAACTGGACTCAATTGACCTAAACCGAGTCTAGATTGACCTGAACCGGGTTTAATTATCCAATCGGATTTAAACCGGTTAAACCGGTCTAAACCGAAAAAACCTAATTTGGGATTGCGGAAGCCGCCGAGTCACCCGAGTCAACCCGGTGGTTGACTCACCCCGATTTTCTGACTCAGCCGCGACTCGGCGAGTCACGGTTGATTTCGCCGGAAAAACACCGGTTTTTAACCAGTTTTAACCTCGAAACCCTAGATCTACACACACACAATCACGACTCACCTTCCTCAGGTTCTAACTCGGCCGATTTACTCAGTCCGAGATAGATCCAAGAGTTTCTTACCTCTTTTGCCGCTGATCTGAGCCTCTCCGCCAGTGTCGACTGCCGATTTCCCACGAGATGGGCTCGGCTTCTTCGATTCTTTCATCTGAAACAACTTGCGCACCAAATTAGGAAGCTCAGACCCAAGACCGGCGTACCTCAACTTACCTCGACCTTAGATTTGCCGATCTGCCGCTCGATACCGTCGTCTCCACCTCCGATCTACCCATCACCGTCGTCCTTTTCTTGTTTCTACACCTGAAACTCTAAAAAAACGTTAGAACGTTCAGAACCGAAACCCTACCAGATAGACCTTACCTGGACGAGTGAAACCTCGTCGAGCCGCCACTTCTTGCCCCGCAACCGGACTCTGATACCACTTGTAATGGATCAGCCCCGGCCGAGGTTTCGCCTCACCATTCTCTCCGATCTATCGTTTGTATGAACGGAAAGAAAACGAATACACAGTCGAGATACGAGTTCAGCACCGAGTGTAAAGCTCGGGCCTACGTCTCAGGAAGAGGAAGCCACATTCGTAGCTAGGGTTACAACAATAGGGAACCACCGGACACCATCGTACGGCGCCGAAAAATCACGAGCAAAGTTTGTCGGACGAGAGAGAGTCTCTCGGCCGAAAAACACACTCAAACCTCAAATCTGTTCGAATGAATGGATACAACCGAAACCCAGGTTTCGTTTACAACGCGAAAAGACAATAGTACCCCTCCGTGTTTTCTAAACCTTCAGCTTCGCTCAGAGACTTTGGAAGTCTCCAATTCACCTAGAGTCTTTGCTGGATTTCCTGAATAAATCCATCAGTTAATATTTTATTGAAGGAAAATGAGATAAATATTGTATTTTATTTTGACTTTCTATTTTTACTATTTGTATTTTAGAAACATTATATTAATTGAATCTAGTTATTATGGTATTCTCATTTTCAAATAATTTTATATAATTCTGTTTTTTTTTTAGCTATATGATCTATAATATGAAATAAACTACTAAATTCAATAGTAAACTAGGGCAAAAAACTCACTTTGTAAGGTTGATACAATATATAAAAAGTGAATTCCTACAAAAGATTTGAAGAAACGAAGTAAATATTATAAGAGAAAAAAAATATATAAAGTTAATAAAAAGTATTAAAATATTTCTAATTTTAAAAGATAAATATGATTTTTAGAAATAATATAAAATTATAATTATTTTAAAATATGCACAAAATTTATTATAAAATTTTATCAATTATAAATTTGAAAAAAATCATTAACAATATAATTTGTTAAAAAAATCATTCACATTTATATATATATGTGTGTGTGTGTGTGTGTCGTGTAG